TCTATTTTTTCCTCCTTTTTGTCTGCTTTTTGCTTCAACTCTTGGATAATTCTGAGTATTAGAGATTTTAATTCCCTATCAGGTAGTCCTAGTGCCTTTCTTTCTACTGGAAATCCATCTGGTGTTTTAGTTTGGAAGCCTACTGGAACCATCCTGTCCTGTTTTTGCAAATGTTTTTGATATTGTCTGCTGTCTTCAGGGCATTCAGTAGTTATTTTTCTCATTTATTGATTGTAGATTTGTTTGTTTTGTCCTTTTTTTTATTTGGCTATGTCTGAGCAGGTGGACTGTGTGTTCTTTGTTGTTTGCTTGTCTGTGGGCATGATACCTTTCACCTCCTTCTCCAGTTGGCAAGGTCAGTCGCTCAGATATGGTAGAGCAGGGCAGGTCTAGCTGAAAAGGAATTGCTGGGATGGATTGTCTTTGGCACTCACTACAGCCACCAGGGCAGGTCAGTAATCAGTGCAGGGCAGGTTCTGGTAGGCTTTGCCTGTGCTGCTTGGTGGTGTGATGTTAAGCACACGGTGCGAGTAGGCAGGATGGAGGGGGGAGATCGTGATGTGTGGAGCTAAGATGGGTATGGGAGAGAAGAGAGAGGAACAGGGGCCAAAAACAAACAAACAAACAAAAAAGAGTGCTAGGGGAGCTTGCTGTTGGAGTGGAAAGTTGAGAAACTATGAAATGGAGAAAAACAAAAAGGGAAGAAGAAGAAGAAAAAAAAAGAAAACAGTAAATAAATAAAAATTAGAAAGAAAAAAGAAAAGAAAAGCTCCCAGGGAATCCCACCAGTGTGGCTACGAGGTCTGGGGAAGTTGTTCCCAGGTGGTGAAGTACAGCCTGGCTAGAAGGTGTAGAGGTGTCACTCAGTATTCAGGGGACAGGAAGAGAAGGAAGGTATAGAGAGACAAGAAACTGAGTAATGAAGAAAAAGAAAAAGGGAAAAAGAGGGAAAAGAAAACAAAGCAAATTTTTAAAAAAGAACAAGAAAACCCCCTACAAAAACAAAACAAAACAAAAAAACACGAGAAAAGAAATGTCCTCAGGGATCCCTCTGCATGTCTGCACAAGGCGAGGGGGTAAGTCCCAGGCCATGCAGCACTGCCCGGCCAGAACAGGCTCCCAACTAGAGAAAAGAAACATTAAACAAACAAACAAACAAAAGCCTCATGATCCCACCAGCGTGGCAGAACAGACCGGGAAGCAGTTTCACACTAGAGCAGAGCTCCACAGCCCCTCAGGAAGAAGCAAAGATGGCACACGGAGCCAGATATTTGAGCAAAAGGAGAGGGAGGTTGTGAGAGGTAAGGAAGAAATCAAAAGAAGCAGAAAAAAGCAACACCAGCAGCCAACAAATGGCACTCAGGGAATTGGCCATTGAGGGTGGGTGGAATCCAAGCAGTCGGTGCTTCCCAGCCAAGATACTGGGCCATGGGAAGCAGAGAAGGCTGAGTGGGGGTAAAGAGTGTGGGGGGTGGGAAAGCATATATTACCAGCTACTGGTTGTTCTATCTCCTGCTGGAAGCTCCATGAAGCTGCTTTCTCATACCCCCTATTTGCTGTTCTCTAATAGGAGTCCAAGATGGCAGATCTGTGCTGCGTTAGTTGATGGGGACCTCTGCATGTATGTCTCTTCGCTCTCTGTTCTCTGTCAGTTTCTTATTCCATTTGGTGCTTGGCTGAGTTCTTTATCTCTTTATCTGATGTTTAGGATTTCAGGATTGCTGTTTTCTCTGTTTGGCTTTGTTTTTTGGATCTTTGCTGTGGAGGGATGACGTGGTGCTTCTGCCTAGAGCGCCATGTTTCCAGAAGAAACTGAGGACTAAATTTTTATTGAATAATAACCACATCTAATCCTGAACAAGATACTAAAGGCAAGCATGGGAGCAGCAATATCCTAAACACATAACCAAAAGCTATGTTTTCATTAATTTTTTATTAAGTAGATAATTTAATTTTTATCATATAGATGGATCTTGCAGCACAACCTCAAAGAATCTAAAGTAAAGTTTGTATAGTGAAACCTGCAAAAGCTGGAACCTGAGTGTTATGAATTGAATTGTGTCCCCCAAAAATGTGTGTCAACTTTGCTAGGCCATGATTCCCAGTAGTGTTGTCCACCATTTTGTGATCTGATGTGATTATCCTATGTGTTATAAGTTGTAACCTCTATGATGTTAATGAGGCAGGACTCAATCTACAAGATTAGGATGCATTTTAAGTCAATCTCTTTTGAAATATAAAAGAGAGAAGCAAGCAGAGAAATGGGGGACCTCATACCACCAAGAATGAAGAGCCAGGAGTGAAGGACTTCCTTTGGACCTGGGGTCTCTGTGCTGAGAAGCTCCTAGACCAGGGGAAGATTGATGACAAGGGCATTCCCCAAGAGCCTACAGACAGAGAAAGCCTTCCCCTAGAGCTGGCACCCTAAATTCAGACTTCTAGTCTCCTAAACTGTGAGAGAATAAATTTCTCTTTGTTAAAGCCATCAACTTGTGGTATTTTGGTTATAGCAGCACTAGATATCTAAGACACTGTGTAAGGCAGAAACCTGCCCGAGAAGGAAAACTCAAATATTTTCCACTAAAGCGAACGATAGAAAAGTAGTAGGACTGCACCCTGTCAAAGGGAAAACTGGAAAGACAAGGCAGTCCTGTCGAGTTCCAGCTCTCATAAATTTCACTGTATATGTGCATTGATGTTTGTCTTGCTTAATTGGATGATAAGTTTCTGGTTATTAAATAAGAATTAGTTAGGCCACGTGTTCCATACAATCCTTAAAACAATAGGTGATTATCATTCGGTAATCCAGAAGAATCCAGATTGCATTCCTCAGATATGAAAGAAGGTAGCACCATTGCAAAGGAAGACTTTAGGATCAACGTAAAGACATACAGGAGTAAAAGAGGTGTGAACCTGGAGTTTGTTATGGATTGGATCGTGTCCCCCCAAAATGTGTTTCAAATCCTAACCTCTATACCTGTGGTTTTCATGACCTTCATTTGCTGATGTGGCATGACTCAAGATGAGAAGAAACAGTTGCAAACATCTCTTAATGACAGGAACATGGAGCCTACAGAGTATGAATCAAGGAAAATTGGAAGTTGTCAAAAATGAAATGGAAAGCTTGAAGACTGATATCCAAAGCATTAGTGAGCTGAAATGGACTGGTATTGGCCATTTTGAATTGAACAATCATATGATCTACTATGCTGGGAATGACAAGTTGAAGAAAATTGTACAAATTGTTTATTTTGGACTTGTTATCAAGAGGGACCAGTCCCTGGAGAAGGACATTATGCTTAGTAAAATATAAGGTCAGAGAAAAAGAGGAAGACCCCAATAAGATGGATTGACACAGTGGCTGCAACAGTGGGCTAAAACATAGCAACAGTTGTGAGGATGACAAAGGACCAGGCAGTGTTTTGTTCTGTTGTACATAGGGTTGCTGTGAGTCAGAACTGACTCGACTGCACCTAACAACAACATATCTGTAGTTATAATCCCATTTGGGAATGGATTTTCTTTGCTGTGTTAATGAGACAGTATTAGTGTAGGGTGTGTCTTGAGTCAATCTCTTCTGAGATATAAAAGGAACAGATTAAGCAAGGAAGAAAAGAAGCAGAGATGGGGAGAAGATAGATGGCATGCCACATGAAGATCACCAAGGAGCCAAGGAATAGAAGCTGAAGAGACAAAAACTTTCCCCCAGAGCCAACAGAGAAATTCTTTCTCTAGAATCTGGACCCTGAATATGAACTTTTAACCTCCTAAACTGTGAGAAAATAAATTCCTGTTTGTTAAAGCTAGCCCCGTGTGGTATTTCTGTTATAACAGCACTAGATAACGAAAAGCTAAAAATTTTAAAAGTCCGTATTGGCAGAAAGTCTTCTGTAGGGTTTAGAACACATTTACATATTAGTCCTTGGTATAGATTAACTGGGAGGAAGAAACCTAAAATTCCAAGTAGATTCAAACGTGTCACTACTGCTGAGGAAAGGCAAACCAACAGGAACATTCATCTTGAATTGAAAAGTCACTAATACAGGGTCTTCAGGACTTCTAAACTGTTACCTTGAGGAGTCTCCTTCCCTGAAGAAACCACCTCAGATCTGTAGACAATTCACCCTGTGTCCATGTGGTAGCAAATAAAAGTAAGGTATGGACCACTGTTTGCAATTTACAAAATATTATTCTTGTGCATTATAGTATAATAATACAGTAATTTAAAATAAAAAATGATTACATGTAGGCTTGGGAGTTAGGCAAACCTGGACTCTATTCTCATATTTGATCACTCTTTGCTGATCCTTCTTTTCTTCATCCATAAACTAAGGGTGGACCCTACTTCCTAAGGCTTCAGAAAGGATTAAGTGGAATAGCATGTGTGAGGCACTCCGTGTATTGGAGGAGCTCCATGAAGGGCACACCTGTTCATCAGCTCTAGGTTTCACACTGCGTTCACATTTTAACACCTCTGAAATCAAGAGTGTGCTACAAATAATAGTATGTTGTACATTAGTTGGCAGTGATTTTTTTTCTTTCTTTCTTAGTAAGACATAAAATAAAGACACATTATACAATCAGTGGTTTCTGAGATTTGATGAAATATGTTATTAACATTTAGTCCTCATTGCAACTTCCTGGTGTAGCAGTAATTATTTTCTCTATTTTACAGACGAGAAAATTGAGCCTCAGAAAGGTAAGGTGACTTGCCAAGGTCACATACACTACTTAGATCAAGACCAGGACCCCAGGCACTTCCTGTGACCCTACAGCTCCATACTCATGCCCTTGCCTCAGGCTGCCTCATCCTCTGAGACTTGTGACACTTGTGTTTTCTCCCATATGGACAGGAAGTCTTCTGTGGGGTTTAGATTACAACTTCTGGAGGCAGGTGGGGGCCATTAGAGTACATGCTGCTTGGCACACTGTGGTTCCAAGGTGGGGACTGTGTTTTTAAACCACTAAGCACCATTAACAGGACCTCTCCTTGCCTGCAGCTGGAGGTTCAGTCATATGGAAAGGGAGCCCACCTGGCATCTATCCTGAATTCAAGGAAGCCAGCATCATAGCGGAGTACATAAGTGGCTATCAAACAAGCCAGCCCATATGGATTGGCCTGCAAGACCCACAGAAGGTAACCTCAGACTTTACCAACAAATATCCTCTTGGGAAAACCAGTAGCTAGACACTCTCTTGGAAATGGCCTCCTGGCTTCCTGAGTAGGCCAGTGACAAGAGACACAGGTGGTGGATTTTCTCCAGTCATGTGCTTCTAAGTAATAGAGGCCAAGGCCTCAAGATCAGAGAGCCAGCTCTGGCCCTCAGTGAAGCATATGATTTAAATGGTGTATATATATATATATATATATATATATATCCTTCTGATTAATGAAGATACTCTTGAATCTTAGAACACAAAATTATCAGCTTTCCAGAGCCTCCAAAAAAGAGTCTGAAGGAGACCTATTGGCTCTAGGGGAAGATCCTTCCTTGTCTCTTTCAGCTTCTGGCTGCCCCAGGGGTTTCTTGGCATTCCTTGGCTTATAGATGAATCCTCACATGGTGTCTTCCCCCATGGGTGATTCTGTGTCTATTCTCCCCTTTTATAAGACACCACTCAGAAGGGATTAGGATCCACCCTACTCTATTATGACCTTGTTAATTGCTAACAAAAGAAAAACTCTATTTCCAAGCAAAGTCTCATTCACAGGTACAGGGTTTAGGACTTCAGCATATCTTTTAGGGGGACATAATTCAATCCACAATAGATTATATTATGTTTCTGAGGTTATGCTTAATTTTTTTTCACTGGACCCTTATTGTCACTGTCCAGCAATACCTCATTGTAAAAAATGACATGTGAGGTCATAGGCTGGTGGCTGAGGTCTATATATGGGATATGCAGTTTACAGATTCTTTACGGGGCTTCTAAAGTTAATGCAAACAAACACAGGGAACATGAGGAGAGAACCCATAGACTTTGTTTCTGGATAAAATTGCTGAAGATTCCACACATTCATACATCCTTTTTCATGAATGTGTGCATTTATCCTGTAATATTTATCTATAAATATCTTTAAGCTCTTATTCTTCTTTGAATATTATATTTTAGAAAAACTAGCAATTGCTTGTCATTGTTGTTACAAATATTTTATACATGTTTAGTGTTTAATTGTGTTTATATAGGTAGCAGAAGTTTTACATTTTTATGTAGTCACATTGCTATCAATTAGAGATAGGATAAATATTTACTTGTATTTCCGCTGGATATTTTTCATAGTTTAATTTTTTTACATCCATGACAAAGGAAAGCATGTGGCTAATAAACATCTTAAAAACTGTGCAATGTCTCTAGTAATAAAATAAATGAAAATTAAAATAACAATATAATTTGATTTATCAGGTTACCAAACTGCACTTTGTTTTAATGAATAATGCTTGTAAGTATATGTAAAAACTCTACTCACATCCATTTGATGGCTATGAAAATTCTTATTACTGGAAAGTGATTTGGCATTGCAACCACTAGCCTCAAAATATTCATACCCTTTGGCCCATTCATTCTACTTCTGAGATTCTATCCTATGGAAATAATTTTAAATACAGAAGCAGTTTTATGCACAAAGTTGCCCATAGCAGTATTCTTTGTAATAATTGTAAACTGGAAACAACATAAATATCAACCAATAGAATTATTAAGATAAATTATAGTACATCCTTACCATTAAACAAACAAATTTGCAAAGCAAGAATCACAGTTATATGTATATTCTAAAGATCATGTCTTCTAGTATCTCAACCTAAAAATGTTATGATACATAAGAATATTTACACTGGAAGTAAATATGCTAAAATATTACTAATGTTTTCCTCTGGAGTATGGAATTAAGTGACTTCTCTATTTTTCCTTCTTTATGAATTTCTGTACTTGCCAGTTTTTACAGTGAAAACACTGGGGAGACTGTCTTGGCTGTGAGCACACAGATTAGCTGATCTGTGCGTTCTTCCAGTTCTTTTCATTTGAAGAGGCAGCAATGGCAGTGGATAGATGGTGCTTTATAGTTATACAGAACCTGGTCTGGCAAGTCCATGTGTTGGAACAAGCACTATGCAGAGATGAGTTCCAGTCACAGTAAGTTTGAACGCATCACCCGTTACCAAAACACGTTGCCGTCAAGTCGATGCTGACTCAGGGCAACCCTATGGGACAGAGTAGAACTGCCTCATAGGATTCCCAAGGCTATAATCTTTATGGAAACAGACTGCCACATCTTTCTCCCACGGAGCACCTGGTGAATTCAAACCACTGACCTTTCGGTTAGCAGCTGAGTACATAACCCCTGCGCCACCAGGGCTCCTCATCACCCCTTACCGCTTCCCAAATAGCAGCACCTTCCCTTTACCTATTAAGAGCAAAATGGGCACCCTCTCTCCCCTCATTCCACACTAGCAACTTTTCTTTTTCTTCAGAACAACGGCTTGCCACTGACATTGTTTACCAGCTTCAGGCATTTGTGACCACTTTACAATCTCTGCCATATCAATGTATCAACTGTTTAGTTATTTGCTTAGTATTTTTCTTTGAATTCAGTCACTTTTTCCTAAATACATTCATTTTTAAATCATATTATATACCATGAGGAGTACATACGCCACACTGTGGGAAACTCAGATCATAGGAAGCAAATATATGTAGTGAAATCAAGATGACTCCCTTTCAGCTCCTTTAAAACTGAGGTTCTTCATGAGCTCTGGAAACCCAGTCTTTGCCTAGGTTTGTTCCTCTTGTTCATTTTCCTGAGTTTTGTCCCCAGAATGCAATGTGCAGAACCACAACTGCAGGCTGCATGTAAGCGCTTGAGTCTCATTTTCTTTGCCTGCTGTGATTCTTTGCTTTTTAAGCTAACAAGTCAAGGTTTCAACACTGACTTTAATGATATTTTGGGCCAGACAAGTCTTTGTTGTGGGAAACTGCCCTGTGCATTGTACAAGGTTTAGCAGCATTCCTGGCTTCTACTCAGCAGCACGCCCTTCCTTCTCCCACTCCCCCCTCTGCCCAGCATGGCAACTAAAAATGTCTCCAGACATTGCCAAATGTCCCACACAGCTAAGTGGGTATGGAAGATTTCAGCTGTAAAACAAGAACATAGAATATTCAAGATGAAAAGAACACTTGATACCAAAGATCCTGTATTTGAGAACATCCCAGTGGGCCTAACAGGTCCTTGTAATGACACCAGGTCTCCCCTCAAAGCCAAGAAGTGAGCCTGAGACAAGGTCTGGACTGAGGGCTCAGGCACTGGGGCTCAGGAGGAAGGAGAACCAGCTGCTCCCAGCAGGACATGGAACAAGTGTTTACTGTTGTCTGAGCAATAAAGCTTAAATGTGAAGAAGAAGGGAAAAAAAAAAAAAAAGGTAGCAAGAAGACATTCTAAAGCAAAGTCTGAAGGTGGGAGAGATCATGAGGAGACAGACTCTGAGGCAAGGCATAGGAAGACCCTCAGGGGTAAGAGGAGGCTGGAGGAGAGAAGCTTCACAGACTTGCAGAGTCCATGATTGCTGATGTTACAGTCAGGTCGAGTGGTAGGAACAAAACCAAGACCAACAGGCAGAAGCTACCAAAATGCAGATTTCTACTCAACATAAGGAAACTGTTTTTGAACAATTGGCACCATCCAAAAATATAGTGGACTACCCCAGGAAGTAGTGAGAAACCCATCTGTAAAAATGGTGTGGGGACAGCATCTGACCTCCTCTAACCTCACAAGGGGGAAGAAGAATCAAGATCAACAGCCTAAGACTGATTCCTATGAGGTGGAAGTCAGACATTGCTCCTCCCTCTCTGCCATCTCTACCAATTCTGACACCAACCATCCCTCCCATGGCACTCTCTACTTCTCTACTGGGTTCCATAATTCACTGCAGTGGCCACACAGAACCCACAGACAATACTCATGATTATGGGGTTTATTAAGGAAGTAATAGGTTAAAATTTAGGTTCAGGAACACTCAGGATATAGTTCTTCTATCAGGACAGCCTCTTCCCAGCTGTGCCCGCTGGCACACCTCTCTGGACCCTCAGCCTCTGCCCTGCTTAGGGGAAAGTGTTACAAAGCTCTTTTAGCTCTGCCCATAACCATAACTAGGGCTAACCAAACAAAAAGTGAACAATGACTCTAGTGCTTATTGTAATTGAAGCATTTAAAAGTGTTGGAAGAGGACTTCGGGCAACATGGTGCTCTAGGCAGAAGCACCACGCTGTCCCTCCACAGCAAAGATCCGAAAAACTAAGCCAAACGGAGAAAACAGCAATCCTGAAATCCTAAACATCAAATGAAGAGATAAAGAATTCAGCAAAGCACCAAATGGAATAAGAAACTGACAGAGAACAGAGCAAGGAGACATACATGGAGAAGTCCCCTATCAGCTAATGCAGCACGGATCTGCCATCTTGGACTCCTATTAGAGACCAACAAATAGGGGGTACGAGAAAGCAGCTTCATGGAGCTTCCAGCAGGAGACAGAACAACCAGTAAACAACGATATACACTTTCCCACCCCCCACCCTTCTTCACCCCCACTCAGACTCCTCTGCTTCCCTTGGCCCAGTATCTTGGCTGGGAAGCACTGGCTGCTTGCATTCCACCTGCCCGCACTGGCCAATTCCCTGAGTGCCATTTGTTGGCTGCTGGTGTTGCTTTTTTCTGCTTCTTTTGATTTCTTCCTTACCTCTCACCACCTCCCCCTCCTTTTGCTCAAATACCTGGCTCCCTGCGCCATCTTTGTTTCTTCCTGAGGGGCTGTGGAGCTCCATTTGAGTGTGGAACTGCTTCCCGGTCAGTGCTGCCATGCTGGTGGGATCATTTTTTTGTTTGTTTCTTTTCAATTGTTTGTTTGTTTTATTTTTCTTTTCTCAAGTTGGGAGCCCAGTCTGGCCAGGCAGTGCTGTGCAGCTTGGGACCTAACCCCTCAGCTTGCGCAGATGCCCAGATGGGTCCCTGAGAGCATTTCTTTCTTTGTGGGTTTTGTTTGTTTGTTTGTTTGTTTTGGGGTTTCTCTTGTTCTTTTTTTAATTTTTTTAATTTGTTTTGTTTTCTTTTTCCCTTTTTGTCTTTCTTCATTGCTCAGTTTCTCATCTCTCTATACCTTCCTTCTCTTCCTGTTCCCTGGATACCTGGCACTGAATACCTCTACACTTCCTAGCTAGGCTGTACTTCAACACCTGGGAAAAACGTCCCCAGACCTAGAAGCCGCGCCAGTGGGATCCCTGGGAACTTTGCTGTTCTTTTTTCTTTCTAATTTTTATTTATTCATTCTTTTCTTTTCTTCTTCTTCCCCTTTTTGTTTTTCTCCATTTCATAGTCTCTCATCTCTCCTCTCTAACGGCAAGCTCCCCTAGCACTCTTTTTTATTTGTTTGTATGTTTTTGGCTCCTGTTCCTCTCTCCTCTCTCCCATACACATCTTAGCTCCACACATCACAGTCTCCCTCCTCCATCCTGCCTACCTGCCCTGTGCGCTTAACATCACACTACCAAGCAGCACAGGCATGGCCTAGTGGAACCTGCCCTGCACTGATTACCGACCCATCCTGGTGGCTGTAGTAAGTGCCACAAACAACCCATCCCAGCAACTTCTCTCCAGCAAGACCTGCCCTGCTGTACCATATCTGAGGCAGCTAACCCTGCCAATTGGAGAAGGAGGTGAAAACTATGAGCAAACAACAAAGAACACACAGCCCACCTGCTCAGACATAGCCAAAGTAAAAAAAAAAAAAAAAAAGACGAAACTAACAAATCTACAATCAATAAATGAGAAAAATAACTACTGAACACCCCAAAGACAACGGACAATATCAAAATATTTACAAAAACAGGACAAGATGGTTCCAGTAGGCATCTAAAATAAAACATCACATGACTTTCTAGTAGAAAAAAAGGCACTAGGACTACCTGATAGGGAATTAAAATCTCTAATACTCAAGAATTATCCAAGAGTTGAAGCAAAAAGCAGACAAAAAGGAGGAAAAAATAGACAAATTCATGGAAAAGGCAGACGAATTTATGGAAAATACAGACAAAAAAATGGAAGAATTCAGGAAAATAATGCAGGAACAAAATGCCAAAATAAATTCACAACTAGAAATTACACAAAAAACAACAAT